CCTTTCACTGAAAGCATTTATGCTACACTGTTCTCTATAACTGAGAATGTTATACTAAAGAAAATAAGGGATAAGCCTTTAAACTGCAAATGGCATAATAGGCAAGAAATTAATAAATAGTTCCATTATCAGTAAAACGAATTGGCATATAAATTAACTTGGTAAATTAAACCGGTTTATTCGATAGATCAAGTTTAAAAAAATACCTGAAAATATTTAATAATACCGGTTTATACCGTTTTGAAAAAGCCTATTATGTATGTACATACGTACGGTAGGTATGTTCTGAGTAATAAGCAATTATCTCATTAACTAGAACGATATGCTGATAAGATTTTGCCTGCAATTCAATCGAGGAGAGTGATATTTTTGTATAGATACCTTTTTTGGCTTTATTAAGAGTTAACTCATTTGGAATGACGCGAGTAAGAGGCAGCCCGCACACACAAATCCATATGAACATTAGGGTGGTAAAAAAAAAAGTTAAATCGGAATTTTAATGTTCTCACACCTGGGATTGTTCTATACTCCTGTTTTTTTTTAAATCAAAAAATATTTAGAGGTCGCTCAAAGTACTCAAGGTTTTCTATGTATTTTATATCTGAAAAAACCCACTTTTCGTAAAAATTTTTTTTTCTTTCGGAATAAAAAAACAGGGGTAAATATTTTCGATATAGGAGCATGCCAGTTGGTTAGAGCAATAAAATTCGGACTTAACTTCTTTACACACGCATCTTTGGACCACCCGAATGTACATACATATTAACTTATGAAAACGTATGTAAGTTTATATTCTTATGTGTGTTTGAGTGTCTATTCATTAGTAAGAACGTTTAATGAGTAAAATATTTATTTTTAATCTATTTTTAATACGCTTTTTTCTGAAAGTCAAATTCTCTAAGTAATAAGTAGTGCTATTATCTGCAACGAATTACTCATACACCGCTGATAAATTCGGCAACCTTTACGAGTGTTAATTTTATGTACATTGTTCATGCATAACGTTTGTATTTTCTTTTCAGACAAAAGACTGTATATTGTTGCGAAAAAATTCCGTTTCGCAGTATCTCCATTTAAAAAAAAAAAAAAACATTTCTTACAGTACAGTATTTTTTTAAACAGTATTTAAATTAAATAAAGAAATTCCTGGTACTATGTGTACCTGTTTTACAGCCCACGACAATATTATACGATCTAACAAAATGCATGTATGTAAATGCAAATTTCTAACTTTGTACAAAAATTAGAAAAATTCAACAAAGTTGCACAACGACAATTTTCTAGTTTGCAGTATGCGAATTCATAGAAAGTGATAGCGCCAGCACAAAAACAAAAATTGTATCTAGATTTTCCGAACACAATAAGTGAATTAGCTTCAATGAATACTGATTTATCGCAGTTTTCGTGTTTCGATAAATTACCGTTATATGGGAGGTGGGCGTGATTATCGCCCGGTTTCAAAGATTTTCAACAGATTTCATAGTTGGACCCTAAGCAAGGCTCGGACCGAGTTTGGTAAGGATTGGTGAAGGGGCTACTGAGATACAGAATTTCATCATAAGTGGGCGGGGTCACGCCTATTTTCCAAAAATTTCATAATAATATTATTTTTTACCATGATTCTACTTCGCGTACTAATTTTCAACAATTTAGATTAAAAATTTAATGCATTTTTCGAAAATACCGTTATAAGGGAAAAAGGCGTGGTTACAGTCCGATTTCGCCCATTTTCAATACCAACCTAGCTTGGGTAAAGGGCAACCTACACCATTTGGTTAAGATATCTCAATTTTCGTTCGAGTTATCGTGTACACGGACGAACGGACGGACGAACAGACATGGCTTAATTGACTTCTCCTCCTCCTTCTCTTCTCCTTTCATTCTGATCATTTATTTATAAATACACTTCCAAAATACAAATCTACATAAAGAGTGTCAAATTTTAGCTGTCACAAATTACATAACCTTGTATTGTTGAATCATGCTTCCTAAGTATAATAGTTATATACAATTGTTACTCTTGTAAATAAATAAATAAATAAATAAGTAAATAAAAAACTTATCCAGCTAAGCTGAATTTAACCCATTAGGATTAATGTGGGAGTCTATGAGTGCTCTTTTATGACTCGCTGTTGAGGTTTACGGCATTTTTCTCTCGTTGTTTGCTTGGGAGGTTTGCATGTGGCTATTTGGATTGCACTCGCTTATTGCTCATTTGACAATTAAAAGGTATTACTCGCCCTCCTAAGGACATTATGTGTTAAAGAGAGTACACAAAATGACACGCATGGAGTACGCACAGAGCAATCGAACGGAGATCCTAAACGCTACTGGGATTGCTAATTTGCGTATATACATATACATACATACATATGAATCTAATTTTGGTATGTATGCCATTTAATCTTTTGTTTAAAATATTTGAGCACTTATTCAACCTTCATGATGATCATGTGATATCTACGCAAACCAGGGCGTCTACGGCTGCTAGAAATGGGTTAATCAAGTGGAGTGTCACGTAGAGTATGCGCCCTTCCGTATTTGCCGTCCATATCAGCAAATGAAATTGCTGTTGATAGAGAGAGAGAGAGAGAGAGAGAGAGAGAGGCAACGACAACGTCATCGCCATGCGGTGGTAAGTTTTCCTTAACACAAGAATCCCATAAGATAGGTCGTGTCAGCTGACACGTCGGTGCCTGGTTGTGCTATGTCATACTTTTCTTCGTTGGATTTCATGTCTTTTAACGTGTACATTAGGGTGGTCTTTACATGTGGGAAGCAAATTTTTATATCACATATAAATGTTGGTCCCAATTGGAGACGGTTAAGGCGTGTCGCAAAGGGGTGAAAGGTCAGATGCCTTTTGACTGTCATTAACCTGGGAGTGGGCAGAAATGATTCTTGTGCGTACGGTTCAAATCGCAGCTGACGATGTCGGGATATTTATATCCATGTATCCTCTAGGTAGCGACCAAGCACCCGTTTGGGAGGAGCGAGCTAAAATGAGAAGGCGTAAAACTCCGCGTGCGCTGGGTTTTGGTTCCGCCGCGTTAAAACCCCGTCAAATGAAAAATAAAAAACAGCCTCGGATGAGATCCACCTCCTTTTGATGACGACCACGGCAAATGTATAAAGGACAAGGGTATGCACCTGGAATATCCGGACCCTTAATGGAGAAGGTGGTGGAAGACTAAGACTGACATCACCGCCATCCAAGAAATGCGATGGACGGAGCAAGGCATGGTAAGCGTAAAGCCTTCAGATGTCTACTACAGTTGCCACGTAAAGGAGCGCAAATTCGTGGTGGGAGGGAGACTCCGTCGGCGAGTACTGGCGGTCACCCCGATAACAGAACGTCTAGCTATAATCCGCATCAAAGCTGGATTCTTTAACATCTCGGTCATCTGTGCACATGCCCCGACGGAAGAGAAGGAAGAGGCGCCCAAGGATCTCTTCAATGAGCGCTTGGAGCGTACATATGAGCGCTGCCCCCGACACGATATAAAAGTCGTGCTTGGCGATTTCAATTTCAAGGTAGGCAAGGGAGGGATCTTTGGCGCTACTGTCGGAAAATTCAGTCTACACGACCAAACGGCTATAAAAAATAGTTATTAAAAAGTGGTTAAATAAACAATTGGGTATTATTATTTCCAGTATTGGGTATTATTTTTTTTTCATATAAAATACATGGAAAACTTTGAGCGACCTCTAAATATCTTTTGAATTCAAAATAATAAAACAGGGACATATTTTTTCGGTATAGAACAATCCTAGGTGGTGAGGCCATCCAAATTCCGACTTTATTTGGGCCACCCTAATGTGCGTACATACATACATATGTCTAAAAATCACACTTTTAATTTATGACCTTTTCGTTTCTAGAAAAAAGTAGCCATTAAATATCATAAATTTTTAGGCCAATACATTTTAGTACCAATTAACAGCCTAATTAAGGTATGCGGAATGAAACGTGAACACTTTCTAAGCAGACCTTAAAAAATTTTGGTAAACACAGCAGTTTGACTAAGTATACCAAAATCTACTGTGCAATCTTAACAGGCATTCCACAAAAAATAATCTCGTTGTATATTATAAAGCTGAAATAATTTCCTTGAAAGCGAACAAACTCTGAAAATTTGTTTGTAAATTTTGTATACCGAAACTCCATGGTACATGGTACTCAATGTCATGAAAAGTAACGTGCTTTCTCAGTTTTTCTCTATGAGACTTGAAAAAAAAAACTTTATTTACAAAGGAAATGACGGCTTTATAGAATAGTAAGACAGTAGATGGAAAACCCCCAAGGGTTGCGAAAAAGCGTGTTTAACATTGCAGCGAAATGAGACCACTTTAGCCAAGATTTTTTAAACGTTGAAAAGTAAAATTAAAAGCGGCTATGAGCGCTTTCCCAAAATTTGCTTGCACCACATTCATTTCAGGTTTGTACAACGGATTAGGGAAATATTTTTCATTGGGGACCATCAAAGGACTCCTAAATATAACTCTGAACTATTCATCGTCTAAATGGCTAATAATAAAAAAATAATAAAATATAATAACTCAAATTGGCACAATAAAGTTCCAAAATAATATTAAAAAAAAAAAAATCAGAATTTTTTGTTCCATTGTTTTGTTTATGATAAGAAAAAAACCAAATCACGCCAGCTCTTATCTCAATTTTTCAACGTAACCTTATCGGGCGTTTTTGCACACTCGCACTCAAGGGTACTTCCGGCACTAGGAACTGATCTCGGGATTTTATCAGTGTAAATAAGATTACGAAACAAATGCATAACCAATTATTGCACTTACTGGCGAGCACTGAAGGAAACGCTTGTTTGATGGCTGCGGTTTCGATTTGAAATTTGGACAAAAACTGGCAAGTACAAACAAAACGATTCTTAGTTAAAACAAAAACACTATTAAGTAGTCGCAAGAAGGTGTTGTTTTGAAGTAAAATAAGGATCATATTCGAAAGAAGTTCACAGCAATAGCATTAATGGCGCCTTAATTAGGGACTCTACGGACTACATATGCCCATATACATAGATATTTTTTTCATAAACTGTACAAGTATATATTTTTGATTTGTAAATAAATTTACAAATATAAAATCTTGAAATCGCATAGGCTTCGGTGCAAATCATTTTCGCACTTCCTTGCTATTCAACACTTTCCTCATCTACACACACGGGCGGCTCCATCGGGCAAGCATCAATGGGATTAAATTGATTTAAGTTGACAATGCGTGTACAATTGATATCTTGAACAGGACGTGAATTACGCAGAATCCGTGTTTTGCCATCCTTCGATAGCAACTGACGAAATTCGTTCAACTGGCGTTCACTAATTGCCAATGGCTCGGGAAAGAGAAACCATTCGGCACCCTGATAGCATGGCGGTTCGGTCAGTGAGCCGCCATAGCTGTAGAAGCCAGT